TGGAGTTGTAAAATGAGAATGATTGGAAATGTGTTCAATTTGTCTATTTCACAAAAGTAAGAACCATAGGTAAACATTGTGTGCATGCTAGGAGCATGGGGGCAAGTGTTGGAATTCAAGTAAGAAGTTGATTACCCGAAACGACAAATAATGAGTAATCGGTATGGTGATAAATAAAAGGAGTTTCATTTATACTCAAAGGTTTGAGGCCATATGGGATTAGTATTATTCTTGTGTTTCACCTTGCATGTTTTGACTTCCAGAATAATTGAGTTTATTAAGAATAATCGAATTATTCAAACGGGCCACAGTCGTTCATATGTTGGAAGTAGATATGAATGAAGACTGTCGTGAATTGGTGTGTGGATTGTCTAGAAAAGTATTAGACATAAGCAAATGTTTGCTGCAACGTTCATGAGTGCTTATGAATATGATTTGAGCATTGGATTAAACCCACTCTCACTTGGACCACTCCATGAATTGTATCACGAGTGATTGGTGAGACGATAACATCTTATATTCTTGAAACTGAGATGTGTGAGTTGTATCTTGCTAATCGGTTGCACATTGATAATATGTAAACGCACTAGTAACTTGGTGTTATAAAACATATTGTTGTGTGTGATTTGGTTAGTGAGTGCAAGCAAGCATTGTATCAAAGTTTATCCGTTCCTTTTATTCAAAGGATAAAAGCGATATCTTTGGGCCCCTCGATGGTTTAGTGATGACAAACGTAAATGCTCGGTCGGGCTAGGGCTAATTTGATTTGTTCAATTAGTCAGTCGTCATAAATCAGAAATCGAGAAGTAGTACAAAGAGAATGATTAGAAATCATATCTCATATGATATCTAGAATGGAGGAATATATGATCCCTTATCTAAGGACACGCGTATCTGATAGGATCAGAGTTGACAGCGGCTTTGGAAAGCTACGATTGCAGATCAGGATCTGAAGTCATACGCATAATAGTTATTAGACTTATCCAAGTGGGAGACTGTTGGATTAGTGTCTAAGTCCATAACTATTTTGGTATGTACTTGACCCGATGGTGCATGGTCCTTTTGGGTTGCCTTCACCAAAGCAACTTGATTGGAGAAATAAATAAAGAGAGAATGGATAATATGATTTATTAATATGTTATAAGAATAATATATTAAAGGAGAAATCATATTTGTTTAATTAATATTGGTCAATAATTAATTAGGAATTAATTTTGTGATCAAGTGTAATTAATTAAACTAGAGGGGCTGATTTGTAATTATGTGATAGTTACAAAATAAGGTAAGGATTATCTTAAATATATGGTGAACGAATTTGAGGTGATAAGGCCTTAGAATTCAACTATGATAAGGAATCAACGATTATCTTATGGGTTGCTTTGTGGATAAGCAACTAGATAAAGATAATGACTGAAACCCTATCTCTACACTTATATAAACACCCCTTGGCTCATGAATTCGTGTATCCCTTCCCAAGGAGTCCTAAGGACAAATTCTAACCTCTCTCCTCTCTCTTTATACCTTCTCCATTTGCTCTTGGTGTTTGTAAGCCGTTAGAGGAGTGACACTTGTGACTCTAAGACTTCCAAAGTCATTACAAGGAGATTTGGGATTGTTATTGCTACATAACAATCAAGGTATGATCTTAAACCTAATTACATATTAATATGATTACTTGAATACTAGAATTAGGGTTTATAGTCTTGGATTCAAAGCATGTACAATAGAGAAGCCTGGATCCAAGCATTAGGGTTTGTATGAGCACATAGGATGTCTTATGACCAAAACCCTTCAGTTAGAATATAATTGCCTATGAATCGTACATTATTTATGTACAATACAAGGATGACTACAGTGCTCCCACTAGCACTGACATATATATATATATATATATATATATATATATATATATATATATATATATATATATATATATATATATATATATATATGGCTTATCTATGTTTCTCGAAATTCAAACTCCTTGAACATTCTCATTGAAACAAAGAATCCAATTACTCCCACTAGCTTTGACATATGTATGGCTCATATTTATTTCTCGAAATTCATACACTTTGAACTTTCTCATTGAAATAATGATCCATCTTGCGAGATGCTTATTTTGGTCCATAAATGAACTTGTTAAGCTTACACTTCCTTCAAAACCTATCTTGGTTTAATTATGTGTTTGTTCCTATCCATGATTGTTTCTACTAGAAGATCCACTTGCACTTAAGGGTTAAGGTCAAGTGCTAGATATACCAAATAACAAAATACATGTATTGAATCTCGCTTTTCAATTCCTCCTTCCATGTTGTAGCCTTTAGGGCCTACCATAACTTCCGATAGCTGGTACACTCTGATTTCTCCATACCAGTGACTCATTTACCTCAGTAATATAGGAGTGTAAGGCCAGAATATTATGTCTCATGGGTGTGTACGGACAAAGTGTATGGCCCAAGTGAGTGTACGGCTGTACACTCATGGTGATACATGACATTTTGTGTTTTGAAGTCCTCTTAAGCATCTAGGGGGTGTGTCTTGACCAATGCTTAACCATATTGAAAGTTAAATGCCATTTTGGACCCTAAAAAGGGTGTGTACCGCACACAAGGAGTGTACGGCGTTACACCGTTGCTCATTATGTAAAACTGGTCAAAAGTGTATTTCAAAGTTCTATCTTCCATTCCCTAAGTGTTCTTGATCAAGTGTTAGCCTAGAACATGAGTTTTAAGGCCTTTAAGCACAAAATTGAGGGGTGTATGGCCACATGGGGTGTGTTCGACCATACACACCTCATTGATCATATTTTTGATGTTTTCTACGGAATAAATCAGTAAGTAACTAGCACAAGGAGTGGTACTTACAATAGGGAAGCATTTTGGGGTGTTTGTGGTCCAAAAACTTAGTAGGTGTTCTTGGTGTTCTTGATGAACACTTGAAGATCTAAACAAAATGAGTAGTATCATGGATGAATGGTAGATCTTTACTAGATTGAGTAATGAATCATCAAATAGATGGAAGAAAACACTTACAACTTGAAGCTTGAAGCGAATAGTTGGATGATACTTGAGAGGATTTTGAGTTCCAACATTGAAGAAGTGGAAAGGTGTTCAAAAATGACCAGGTGTTGAATATATATAGGTGGGAGTGTGTGGTTGGGATGTGTGTGCAGCCGCACACACTGGTGTATGGCGGCACACTCCATATGTTGGAGTGTTTGGCCCGAATTTTCTTGATATGCATTGAATCATCCATTTGGGGACACTAGATATACAAAGGTGTTCGTTGGAGAGCTTGCATGGGAGACACAGATGGAGATGCTACATCATTATTTTGAACAATTTGGGGAAATTTCGGAGGCTGTTGTTATAACTGATAAGCATAGCGGAAGATCAAAAGGCTATGGATTTGTGATTATTTATATTTATTCTATTTGAGTTTCACTCGTATCCAATAACGATGATTGCAGATACCTATTTATTTGTTTACTGCATTTCACAACTTCTAATATCACAATCTTATCACGTCCCCAAATTCAGGTTCAAATATAATTTGATACCTGTATTCCATTATTTTGCCCTAATCTACTACTCAAGTGTTTACTGCAGATACTCGTTTCTTTGTTTACTGCTCTAATTATATTTCATGTAGAACATCTTAAAGATTCTTATTGGAGATCTCTACGTCTTTTATAATCAAAAGATGATAACATAGATATCAATGGACTGAACAACAAATTTGAAAATCATGTATGATTGTTAAGACTAGTAAGATTTACGATGTTTCCATATTCTTATTTATCGATTTAGCTCTATTATATTTTGAGATATTTTACACTTTACTAAATGACAAAAGAAAACGAAAAGAAACCTTACCAAGTCTATATAAATAATTTGTTTTTACGAAAAAACTAATCAAATTAATTGTTAATCAAACATTAGAGTTCCACTATATAAAACATACACACCCTTACTTGATGCATCTTTTTTTTTTTCTCTTCAGAGTTGATCTAGATCTTGATAATATGCTGAAGGAAAGAGTCAGATGGGGTGACCCCATGGCACATCTAGTGAAGGTAGTAATGAAGTTAAACCCTAAACCCTAATTCAAATTCCACTAGCTCATATTATTTGTGTAATGTTTCAGAAGAAGCAATCAGAAGTGATTCTTCCAGATATAGGAGACAATGAAACGATGAGAGAATCAGGGTGTATAGTTCCTCAACAAGTCCCTAATCACAACTGGTTGAAGAGAGGCTTTGAGGCTGCACCAAATCGCTATGGTATCAGACCAGGTTGACACTGGGATGGGGTTGAACGCCGCAACGGTTAGTCAAAATTCTTTTTTTTTGTTTTTTACTTATATCAGCCATGTACTTTATTTGTTACATAATACATATTGCTATCATTAGTAAAAAATCAAAGTACTTTGAATTTATTTTTTTGAATTGATGTTTGTTTGTTTTGCAGGATTTGAGAAGCAAATGTTCAATAGACAAAATGAAAAACAACCTACAGAAAGAGAAGCTTACTTGTGGTCAGTAGCTAATATGTGAAGTGTGCTAAAATGGAAAATATTATCCTCATTTTTTCTTGATTTTAATGTCGCTCTTGATGACTTTTGTGTTGTATTTTAATTAAAGTTCGGATTGAAATGAGGCAAATGGTACATGAAGTATTCTATGCTTTACAGTCTACACAGATGGGCCACCAATTTGAGTCCATTCAATTGAATCCTTTATCTTCACAATTGATGTTATATAAATTGTCATGGGGCAGTTTATATATGCATCAATACAATCCCAAAATCACCAAGATTTGCATTTACAATATGAATCCTTGTTTTGTCATAGTTTTATCACTTCTCGTGCTACTCCTTGTAACTACAACTACCAACCAATTGGTAGCAGTTAGAGGAGGAGATGATATATATATATATATATATATATATATATATATATATATATATATATATATATATATATATATAATGGTGCTATGAAGAAGTGTTTAGATAAGGAGACAGATGCTCCCCTTCATTTCAAATCTTCCCTCCAAGATCCCTCTAGTTGTCTGTATACATGCAAAGCTGAAGAGGATGACTGTTGTAAGTGGATAGGAATCATGTGCAACAACAAAACAGGTCATGTCAGAGAGCTTGATATGAGCTTATGTGGCCTTGAAGGTGAAGGTGAGATTACCCATTCATTACTAACTTAATTAGTATTTTCCTAGTTTTGCAATGCATGTAGAAATGCTATGGTTTAAATATCAATAACTTAATTAGTATTTTCCTTGATCTATTGTTTTATAGTTCTCATGGGTATAATTTACTATTGTTTTTTCCATAATCTCTTTTTACCATTCTTTAATTATTATTTTTTTCTCAACTTCGTGCACCAAAGTGAGGCGGCACCGTGAGATTCTTAGACAAATTGGTGATCCACTAAGAACCAAGCTTCAGTACCTTGGTAGGCTTCTATCACTTCAAATGGGAAAAATTCTTCCAGAATGAATAGGTGAAGTTTAAGTATGTACTTAATTACTTTTAATTTTCAATACCTTGTCAACAATTGTTGATGGTCTTCCTCTTGGCCGGAGAACTTCAACCTGTAAAGTGCCACACATAGCCATTAGCATAAAATTTAAAAAACTCGAAGCATTTATTTTTTAGTAAAATTAGTTATAAATCTTATAGGAGTAATTTCCCATTCAAAGGCACCACTATCTCAGGCAGCAATACCATGCTCAAAACAGGGCCGGTCCAGACGGTGGGCGAACCGGGCGACCGCCCAGGGCCTACGACTCGAGGGGGCCTAAAAATTCTAGAATATATATATATATATATATATATATATATATATATATATATATATATATATATATATATATATATATATATATATATATATATATAGTCCAAATTAGTCCAAAATCACATTAGCCCAATGAATCTTGTATTGTATTTAATTATGGGCCGCTGTGATGCTATCTCGCTGAAGGCTGAAGTGCAAAACGTGATTCCAATTTTGCTAAATATCAAATAGGAATGAGAAGGTAGCGGGGAACGTTGGAAATCGAGATTAGGGAGCCATATGAATCGGTAGGTAATTGAATCGACGCCTTGTCTTGATACTGAATTGACAATTTTCTCTCACAATCTTTCATCTCTAACAGCTAATTGTCTCTCGAATCTAGATAATACATCTCGTAATCTCGTTTCCTGTTTCACAATTAACAATTCTCACATCTTGATTCTCACTTTGTCTCTCACAATCCACATCTTGATTCGCACTTTGTCTCTCATATTTGTAATTCGTCTGCCACAGCCCACTGCCCACACTGCAACTTGCGAGTTCATTGAAGATTTGAAGAAGGCTGAAATCGGTTATTAGATTCAAGGACAAGGACACCACTCACCAGGTAATTGTCTAATCAATTTCAATCTCTTAATTCTCATTCAATTCGTTGGTTTCATTAATCATTAGATTCAAGTAATGAGGAATATGAAGAATTAGGGAAGCAGATTTTTGTTTCACTAGTTCAGGAAAATTTTTGTTTCTGACTTTCTGTATCAAATTGATTCAATTCAATTGAATATCTAGTTTTCATTTTAATTTCTAGCCTTCTGCTTAGTAATTTAGTTTCAATTCTCAAATCTCAATTTATTTTGGATGCTTTAACAATTTGTTCTATTTTTTTACTTTATCAGATTCTTGTCCTCAAAATTTCTCATGTTTTGCTTCTGACTTTATTTTTCAGAATTACAGCTTTAAATTTCAAACCTTCAAAGTATTACTACACTACTAGATATATAACTTGAGTAACTGACAAGATAACAATGTAATATGATGTATTGGTTATTTGATTTTTTATATTATTTTAATTATCATATTAATGTTTTTTGTTATTGATTTTTACAACTTGCTTTGATATTAGGCTGCATCAGTTCAACATATTTCACAAAAAAATCAGGTGTATTCTTTTCTTAAACTAGTTTTTACTTTATTGTCATTTTTCAATTATAAAATGTTTTCTAAAAAACACTTATCCGGTAGTGAAAAACGAAAAAAGCGAAAAAAAATTTAGGCTTCTTTACAAAAAGAAAAAGGTTCTATGGTTAAATTTTTAAAACCAATGAATTCCAATGAAAATGTTGCTAGTGTTAATGAAGAAAACATTAATTTAAATGAACATGAGAATAATGAAGAAAATATTAATTTGAATGGACAATATAAAAACAAAGATGAAAATGTTGCTAGTTTGAATGAAGAAAATATTATTTTAGATGAACATGATACTAATACAAATGAACAAAATACTAATTTAAATGAATCTATTGATATTTTTGAACCTAGAAATTGGGATACTCTTGATATTAAATCAAGAGATATTCTAATTGAAAAAGGGCCAATAAGAGAAATGAATCTTGTGTTTTATACTAGAAAGTTAAATAATGGTTAAATAATAGTTTATCACGTGATCGAAAATGGTTAGTATACTATAAAAATTTAGATAAAGTTTTTTGTTTTTGTTGTAAAATATTTAAATCTAGTAATCAAAAAAGTTTTTAACAAATGAATGATATAATGATTGGAAACATCTTAGTGAGAGACTTAAAGAACATGAAAATAGTAATGAACATTTTGTTTGTATGAGTCATTGGAATGAAGCCACTGGTGAGAAGGTCTCATCATAGTCAACCTGGGGGTTTGAGTAATGTCCTTTACTACCAATCGTGCCATGAATGTATGCACTTTCCTATCCATGTTGGTCTTCTTCTTGAAGATCTACTTGCACCCGACCGTCTTACGACCCGGTACATTGTTAACCAAATTCCAAACTTTATTGTCATACATGGACTGAATCTCACTGTCCATTTCCTCTCTCCACTTTGCAGACTCTGGGCCCGCCATGGCTACATTGTAGTTAGTAGGTTCATCCACTACTTGATAAACATCCTTTTACGATGCACAATGCATGTCGTAAAACGCTCAGACAACGCGCAAATGCATGTCAAGGAAGAACGTGTCATAACGAGAGACGACACACTTTTGCGTGTCGTCTATTTACGATGCGCCGTTACGACACGCATTCACGACGCACATTTACTACAAACTTTTGCATGTCATAACCTTACAACGCACATTTAAGACATGCATTGCGTATCATTAAAGACACTGGCATAAACAAAGATGACACACATTTTTCCGTGACATAATTATAAATGTTTTAAAAATTATATATTTTGATAGATTTAGTAATTTTCAAATTAAATAACACATTAAAATTCTTATAATACAAAATAAAATACATTAAATAAGAAAGATAATTCATTGTATTATTATGTCAAATACAAATTATGATTCCAATAGTAAGTAAATGTAATACATTACTAATATTGCATAATATTTATTATAGATAAGCAAAACATGTACAACATTTAAAGGAACCCGTGAGTAATTTATCCTTTGACAATCTTCATAGCAACTTTAAGCCTTGTAACCTCACCATTGAATTGAACTTCGCCACCATCGACCTAAGAAAAAAATTGCATATAAATATCAAAAAAAAATTAAGGAGCAAATCATTCTATGACACAAGGAAAAATATCACTAGAGAACTGTGAAAAAAAAAATATGAAACAAATGAATGAAAGTGCGTTGCTATTTCTTTAATACTTACTGCATAGAGTAAGACTTGGTCATCATCCATAGTTTCGAAGGACATGGATGTTTGCCTATGCTGCACAAGAGAGGTGTGTTAATAAACAAATCAATGAAGGCACGTTGCTATTTCTTGCATTTAACACAAAAACTAATGCAAATCGTGTAGAATCTCCTAGTTTATATAGGTAATCTTCCAAACTCATTTGATACATGATCGCAATCCAAATAAGATGACTGGATTAAAATTTAAAATAAGGTTTTTTGTTGTAGATTATTTGTAACATGAGCATCAGATAAGTAAATTCCCGGATGATGTGGAGTGGCATCTTGTTCCATGACTCACATTTCTTGAGCAACGCTTTCAAATACCCAATTTGGTAGACAAATCATGTCCACCAACACCTAGAAAGATATACATTTGGTATATAAGTGTTGACCAAGTCAACAAAAAAACGTAGGAGAAATATCTTACAATAAGATTTTTAACATAATATCATAATAGTTTAACGACCCAATTTATTTAGACAAGAACATACCACGAAATGAATCTAGCACAATCAATTATATAGATATTAACAAGACAATATAAAAAGAACAACAAAGGTTACCCCATTTTATAAAAACTAAAAGTTTGAGTTTTAGGGTTTCAAGTCAACTTACCCACATCCCAGATGCATAATCTTCAACTACCCTAAGAAGCTCGACTAGTTGAACAAGAGGATCAAGAGCATCTAGAGCCCATGAAGGTGGTACTTCTAATAATCCAAGAAGAAGTATTTGAGTAGCACTTGGACTAGCAATAGCACAATACCTATGGAAGAGCCTTGCATAAGGCTCTAAATCAGGAAGCCCTACAACAAGAGGCTCATCCATGGCTATTGTTGGAGGAGGAAGTAATACAGTAGGAACACCAATTGTAGTTAGAGTAGCGGTTTCATAACGAGAAACTTCCTCATCACATACAATTAAAATTACACCTGCGCCATTAACAACAACCCACCTTGGTCTAGACGACATTAACTATGGATGCTTTCTAGATCCACGTGAAGAAGCCATTATTAAACACAAAGTTTTACAACTATGTTAGTTGTTATTATCCTTCTTTCAAAATTTGTATAAAAAAAACTTTTCCACTTACCAAGAGAAGGTGGCTTCAGTTCTCCTGCACCGTTTTTTCCTACACCCCTACACCCTTAAAATTATTTTTCTTTATTTTTGAAATATGAAAGGAAATCGTAATAGAGCTTACGTTCAGAAGGTACCAAAAATAAACACTGAGTCAAAAACTGAGAATCCATTTAAGGGTAAAATGACTATTTTACCCCCTTTGATCTAAATTGGACCATGACCGAGGCCCAATCCTTTCTAGTCTTTCCAAACTCACTAAGGGCCATTAGAGTCCTCCAATGGTCCAATTTTCTAAATTAGGCCCAACTCCTCAAATGGGCTTTCCACCCAATCCCAAACTAGCCCTTGGTCCTTAACTATCTCTTAGTGGCCCATCACGGCCCAACATCTGCTAAGCCCAAAGATTGGCCTAAACTAGTCCCGTGATCTTGAGATAAACCTACTACTAGAATATAGGCCTTTAAGGACACGCAAACCATGACACGCAGTGATTTACGATACGCAAAACTGTGTGCCCTAAAAATAACGTCATCTCTTCTAAAATTTAAAGCATTTTTGCGTGCCCTTACGATTAGTGTTAGAACAAAAAAAATGAAAAACACGGGGGGCACTTAGCATAAAAGGCGTATCGTCTAAGAATGTCGCTTTATAAAATTTTCATCGCGCATCCATCTTTAATAGCTAAGGGGGGAAATCAAATCCCAAAAAATTAAACCCCCCGCCTCGTTCTCATCTCCTACAGGCCGAAAAACCCTTCTTCTTTTCATGACCTAATTAACCAAGCTCTGCAAATTCCATGGCCACTTTGAAATCCATAGTTAAATCGGATCCAACCATACCTTTGCCCAATTTTTTTCAGATATGGTATGTCGCCATATTGTATCTTCATATATGGTCCGTCTTCACATAAGCAACAAAGATACTAGGGCTTTGAACCAAACCTCACAAAATTCTTCGGTCAAAAAACCCTTCCCACCGGTAAAACAACCCTTCCTCTCACTCACAACGCAAAAAACCCTTCCTCTCACTCACAACGCTGGAGATTGAGGGTTTTATGACTTATTAATCACCTCGTTCTCTTCTATTCGTTCTGTTTGCCACCCTCCCTCGTTGTCTCCTTCCATCTTCATCTTTCTACTTCTCCCCTGTACTTTCTCAAAAGTAACTGTAAAGGTATTTGATTTAGCGTTTTGATTTTGATTCTTCATCAATTGGAGAATTTGTTCCCATCAAGTCTCTAGTGGAAGAAACATTTGAGTTACAGACGAAAACAAACACGAATACATTGACTTCCAGATATCGACTGTGAGCAACTCAACTGTATTGACTTATATTTCTATTTTGCTATTTATTTTTGGTTATTTACACAACAGTTTGGTTTCGATTTGCAAGAAGTATGGAACCGAATCGTGGAACCAGGAAGATGTACAAGATGATTGAGCTCTAATTTGGTTCCACTTCATTAACATCAAGCTTTGATTCTAAAATCAAAGGTGATAGCTTTCTGTTTCTCAACAGCCTAGGACATCCACTAACAAGAGAAAAAAAAAGATTTTTTCTTTACTTACTTCTTCCTTAGTGATCTAGACTCTGTTATGTACTTCTTGGTGGGATATCTATTAGTTTCAAGTTTAATTTAAGTTGAAGTAATGAAGTGCACGTGAGGTGTTCGATGAAATGCTCAAGTGAGACTGGACAATAATTTCTTGCATTTTTCGTTGTGTAAAGATGGAGGTGGTGAGATGGGTAATTATAGAACTAATAATATTTTATATACCTTGAATTTTAGACGTTATTTGGTGAATCATCATCATATGGTTGCACAAAAGATTCTAATGTGGAAGGGAGATGATTTATGATCCTTTTGTTTACTACATATTAACATTTTTTTTCTAATTATCGTACATTGTTGTTGCAGGTGCTCATGTCAATTGAAGCAAAAGGTTTAAGAAAAGTTCGTATTTTTTCCTCTTTTTTTTCTTTTGTTCACAATTACACATCCTTGTTTAATATTGATACTCTTAGTGATGATACACTATTCAAATTGAGGACGCTTTTGGATGATCATTTGATGGACAAATAGAAAAACATAGCAAGACCAAATCTGACTGCAAATACTCACTTAGTTCCTTGATTTATTAAAGCTCAATTATTTTACTATTTTTCATCTATATAATTTAGTGGTTCCTTGATTCATAGTTAAACAATATTTTTTTTTTGTGGCTCAGGTATTGATGTCAACGAACATGAATGTTTGTGAACATGATAAATTCTTACTGGTCGTGAGGCGTTACCGGCTTATGAGTAAGGTCTCTCTCTCTCTCTCTCTCTCTCTCACACACACACACACACTACATGCTCGCTTAGGGTTTTGTGAAAAGAGATGAAGATAGTTGGTCATTATCTGATAAAAAGATTGAATCTTATATTAATATCAACGTACCGTTCATACTTTCTCTCTTACTACATAATCTTAAAAAAGAAGAAGGGTTTTTTTGCCGATTTTACGCTCTATCATTTTCGTTTTGAATCTTCAAAATCACAGTCAAATTCAAATGACAACCAAATCAGAAAAGTCTATTCAAATCACTACAACTTTATCTATTTGAAATACCAGTCTATATCCCTATTAGAAACAACCAAATCATTTAAAGCTTCATTATTTTTATTCTCAATTAATATGCTTTTGGTAGATGCTTTTTCATCACCGTTTGTGTTTTTTTCTCTATATCACACCTAAAGATCTCAATTTAAGTTTGTTTTCATATGATTGGTTTTTTCTAAATTGTTTCTGATATGGAGTTTTACTGCATAGTATGCATAGTAGCTGTTTGGTAAAATGCCACAATGAATCCATTTTAGGTTATGACAGATGTTATTTAGTTGTATTAATATAGTTTCTTGAAGAAAGAAGAACATGTTTGTAATTTTGGTTGAAGCGCTCATTAAATGAATGTCATTTGTCCGTCATATCTACAATACATCCAAACAAATTAGTGCTTCCATTTCTACAGGTTATTACTTTTTATTTTCCCATTTTTTAGTTTATATATAATATAGAGTTCCTAAACATTATTATTTGTTGATATTTCGGATCAAAACAAACAAGCATTTAAATAACTGGCAATCATTACTCATTAAGCATCCATGTATTGGTAAATAAGCATTTTGTTTCACTACTTAATTTTTCGCTCTGTGGGTTCATAAATTTCCATCCTTTTATACTATTTCTTTCTATAATTAGAAAAAAAAACAAAAATATAACTCAAATTGATCTATTTTCCAATAAATTATTTGTTATTTTTATTTAAGTGATTTGATTTATCCATTTTTAGTAAAAAAAACAAAAAAACGAAAATATAACACAAATCATATTTATAGTGGTGACATCTTTTTGGTCAATTCAAAGGATGTTACCAGGCCCAACTTATATGTTCATGAAGGAATTTGTAGGTGGTAGCTTTATTAAATGTCTAAAACAAGGATTTTTAAGTCTGTGTCGTGTGGTGAGAATTTAAACAATACTTTTTTGTGAAAGTTGACTGTGTTGGACAGAGAAAGAGAGAGAGAGAATGTATGTGGTAAAAGATAAACTTTTGCATTTGACTCCACTTAATTATGTTTATTTTTTTTTACTTTGTTGAAACCTAAAAGATGTACTTTTGATTTGTTTTACTTTGGTCAGATAAGAAGCATTTTTTCTATAAATTTTTGACAAGAAGAATATTTTTTCTTGATTTTGGTATTCTAGGTAAATATATCGTAGTTTGAGAGATTGGTGTCATGAACGTATCATCATCACATTTCAATAAATAACAACGTACATTCAATTACTTTTATTTATTAACCTTAAACTTTAAAAACTTTATTTTGATCCTTTTTTTTGTTAAAAATATGTTTTGATGTTATAAAATCTCATTGTACGCACATAGGTGTTGGTTTGTTTTTATGCTTCTTATTAAAGCATTGCACTTTGTGAGTACATTGCTAAATGGGGCACTTAAATAAATTACAGTTTTAACCTTTTTAAGGTCTGATGTTTTTTTTTAAATTTAAGTTTATTGCTAAAAGTGGCACTGTTATAGTAACTACAATGCTAAAAGTGACATCAAAAATTTAAGGTCTGATGTAGTTTATTTGACCTTTAACCTGCAAGTGTTAGTTTCATGGTATCAGATTGCATTTAAAGAACTTTTTATTAAGTATATTTACTATATTTTGTAATGGTTAGAGAGGATTTCATGATATATGTAAGTCAAAGGGACTTCTATTTACTTACTTACTATATTTATTGCTTTTGGTCCCTGAGTATAACTGAATTTTTCACTTTTGCTCCCACTAATATAGTATAGCCATTTTACTTGGAACAAGGACAAAAAGCTTTACAAAAACCTTAATTAAGGATCAAAAATGCAAAAGAAAACTTTAATTAGCTATACTCAGGGACCAAAATTTAATTTACTCTATGATTTTTTTTTTAATTAAAATTTAATTTACTCTATGATTTGTGATCTGTCAAATTCAGGTGGTTTGGTGGACTGCAACTTAACACTGGGATCAAGCTCTAATATACAAGTTGAAAATAATGTATCAGAAACTAATAGAGATTCAATTGACTCAACTAGCAGAAGTCACTCCACAGTTGTGCATGAGTTTTCTTCTTCTCAAGGATAGGTACTGAAATTGCTTGATGAAAGAATTGGGAAAACTCCTGCTTCTCAGGTACACTGTGGTCCCACTAGCAGTCACATGTGGTGTGGGGCTTCGGCATCCATAAGTCAAAGTCAAACATCAAAAAAGAGCTTCCTTCAGGTATGGTATGATTGTAATATTTGAACATTTCCAACTTGATTATTACTCTCACTTTCTCGATAAATGCAACAGTTTTTGAATAGGCACTTTGTTTAGGCCCACCGTTGACACACCAGGGACAGGGGCGGGGGGACAATATAAGTTAAGCAAGGATCATCAGTGGTAAAAAAGAGAATTTCATGCGCTCAAATGATTTTATATGTTTTTATGATTAGGCAGAGTGCAGATTGATTCAAAGGATTGATGTCAATGTCCAGGTAACCAAATTGTACCTCTTTTAATTAGATGTAAACAACATGAACATATAAGTGATATTATAATATTTTTGTATATGTTTCCAAAACCTTTACTGGGCAGACAGTGGTGATATGTTAGCAATTTCCAGTGATTCATCATTCTATAACTGCAATACCATGTAAGACTAGCATTCATTACTCATTACCTTACCCTAATACCCTATCTATTTTAAGTACAATTTTAAAAAAAAATCATTTTGAGAATTGGTAAACGAATTTTTGTTTGAAGTTTGCCATGACTGGAGATGGGGTAAATGATGCACCTACATTAAAGAAGGCAGATATAGGAATTCCCATGGGCTTAGGCACAACAGTTGCAAAGGTATATTTTCTGACTTTTTGACTAGTCAACTCTTTCTTATGTTAACTTTATGGTTATAATATAAAAAATTACTAATCATTATAATTAGAGTGCTCCAGACATGGTTTTAACTGACGGCAATTTTGCTACAATAGTTGCAGTAATGTGACATTGTAAACGACCATAACATATCATATTAGTATAGTATATTTATACCTTTGTATGGTTGGGATATTGATTTAATTGGATCAAATATAGTCATAATAATGTTTTATACTGCACGAAGTCTTGAAATTGAGCACTTCAGTAATATTGACTCCATTAGACTTTACAGCATATCTAGAAATTTATAAACGTTGAAATGGTATTTACTATTTATGCAGAACTCCAGCTGAAAACATAAATCTACCTCCAACACTTCTATCAAGATTTGATCTTTTGTGGTTATCCTTGACAAGGTAGATATAGACAATGATCTTGAAATGGTATTTACTATTTACATTATTATGTCCATTAGAACAAAGAATCTCCTGCCCTTGGCTTTTCCTTTGGTAGGTAAGTTTTTCATGTCCTTTAAAAGTATTTAAGGAGGTGCAGGAAGAACATCATACAAGCATTTACAAGGAGCTGTTGTATCTATTTAGACTAGGCTTAGAGCAATGGCTGCAAGAGATGAGTTCAGAATAAGGAGCAAGGCTGCAACTATAGTTGTGAATTCTAGCAGAAGTAATCGTGTACGTGTTCTTGTGCTAGCTACTGTTGTCGATTCGAGAACATCCTTTCTTACTGGTCCAATTGTATGTATCTCATGTGAAGCTTTTGTTAGAACTATTAATCTTAGGGATTTCAAGTTTTTCATATTTCTTGTATGTAATTAGTTTGTAATTTCATCTTATTTGCAATTAATAGCAATGTACTTCCCCTTCAATTCTAATTTGGTTCACTTATAAACCGTTACTTGGTCCCTGCAGTTATTGTTCCTGCTCTATTACTTCCTCCTCCAACAACATCCATGGATGAGCATCTTGTTGCAAGGCTTCCTGCTTTAGAGCCTTATGCAAGGCTGATCTTCCATAGGTACTATGCTATTGCTAGTCCAAGTGCTACTCAAAGACTTTTTCTTGGATTATTAGAAGCACCACCTTCATGGAGATTAGACTTTGAATATCTCCCATTTTAGGGTATATATATATATTTTTTATATTTCTTGTATCTAATTAGTTTGTAAATTTTTGTTACAACTATTGATTTGTTTTATCTTTCCATGGAACGATTATTTGTATAACATTAAATTTTATACAATGGATTGTATTTTTTGTATATGATATTTTGTATTGTATTATGAGACATTAAATACAAATTTAATTTGAAAATTAGTAAATCTATAAATAATATTTTTTTTTTAAATTTAAAATTATGATACGCAAAAATGTGTGTCATCTTCATTTATGACATGGCCTTTCTTGACAGGGGCTTTCTTGATACACATTGCGTGTCATTAACACGCGTGTCGTAAGGTTACGACACGCGAATGCGTGTCGTCTTCCTTTATGACAGGGCCTTCCTTGATACGCAATGCGTGTCGTAAACGAGCGTCGTAATTGCGCGCCGTAAACGAGCGTCGTAAATGCGCGTCGTCTATAGATGACGCGCAAAAGCGCGTCGTCTCTCTTTATGACAGGGCCTTCCTTGACGCGCATTTGCGCGTCGTCTGAGCCTTTTACGATGTGCAATGAGCGTCGTAAAAGGCTGTTTTTCTAGTAGTGACCTGAAACACATACCACATAACACAGAAAGCACGAAGCTTAGTGAGTTCCCCAAAATACCACGTACAGCATATACGCCTTTCTAGGCCATAGCTCTATGGGATCTTCCGATCTAAGTGTCTCAGGGGATTTCCATCCCATAACCATGTTGACCTTCCGGTCCATATCGTCATACTCATATCATAACATATTATATATACAACATACATCACGTATTCATCATACACATAAGACTTTCTGGTCACACATAATTACCCTATCGGGTAAGGCATAGTGAGAAGACTCACCTGGCAAGCAGAAAGCGGTTATCTTTACACTTAATCTCGGACTCGCCACTGCCTAACACATAAGGCAAATATCTCTAATTAACACTCGCAGTCTCAACTCTAATTAAACCGGTGATTACTCTTTCCCTATGTAATCGGGTAGTGGGTAAAAGACCAGGTTACCCCTCCAAGGTCTCTATTACTTATGTTGACCAAACCCCAAAGTCAACAGAAGTCAACTGAAGTCAACGGTCAACTCTGACCAGACTCGTCGAATACACAAGGGTGACTCGGCCAGTCCATGTGTGTCTTCTGACTCCTCCAAGGCCTCACTTGACTCGTCGAGTGAACCTTCCACTCGATGGGTTTCCACTGGATTCGAATCGCAGGGCAACCCGACTCGACTCGTCGACTCTTCCCATGGACTCGGCGAGTTGTTCTCATGACAACATTCAACTGACCTTCTGAGGTCAGATCTGATCCTCTAATCCATAGATCTAGCTTCCTTATGACCAATAACCATGTAAAGGTCGAGGCTTAACATACATGCAAAGCTCACAAGGCTTTCCTTGGAGAAATGGCTCCTAAAATGGCATCAAATTCTCATTCCCTCAATGAACCAACATAAAGCATACATAATACGGCTTTATGGACCTCTATGGGTCCAAATCTGGGATCTCTCACACAAAGGGACCCTCTAGTCATCACTACAAGCCATAGAAAGGTGTAGAAAACCCTAAAATCACCAATCTCAACCAAAACAGAAAAGGGAAATAGATTTTATACCTCTACAGTGAAGATACGAGCTCAGGAACTGTGAATCAATAACTCCCTTGACCTTCCTTTACTAGAAATGACTTCTCCCTTGCAAAAATCACACCAAGAATGCTCAAAATGGCTTTATCTCTTTCACTCTTCGCTGAAGCTCTCTAGGGTATCTCTCTTTTGATTGGTAGCCGCACAAGAGGGCTATAAGGTCCTTTAAATAGGGCTCATGCTCGAGGATTTAGGGTTTTCTTTAATAGCGCTGACTCGGCGAGTCCAGATACCCGACTCATCGAGTCCATTCATTAAACAGGTCACCGAGTCGCGATCCTACTCGACGATTTGAGCCGTCAACTTGTCGAGTCTCTTCATATACCAAAATAAAATACTCAAATTTCCAAGCCTGGATATCCAGATGTTACAATTCTTTCCCATGTGAATTATATTTCTCCCTCGAAATCATTCCTTAACCACTTAAAGATTGAAATTATCAACTCGATAGGCACTACTAAAATTATCTTCATACGCTGATATCTTTCTCTATGGACACCCGAAACCACATAGAACTTCCCGAGTTTAAACCAACTCTTTCTCCGCTGAAATACTCCTTTCGAATACCCGGAAACTCTAGTGGCCTGACCCGCCGCCAGACCGCCTACTCGAGCGATCACCATGATATTCGCTCCTCGAATATCAACCTTGTTTACTCACTGGCTCTCTGATTCTCATAAGACCACGTCCAACAACTGACTATTTCTCCTCCAAACCGATCATGCTAAATCATACAAATCACGCCCCACTTGTAAAAGGGTTCACACTCTACCGGGCACATCTACTAAACTGCTATCAGAAACCATCCGAACAAAGATCCCCCAACACTCTGCCCTCAAACACAAAAGCATTACCATGTTCGCTCAGAAGTGTCCTCAAACATCACATTCATAAGCCTCATCTCCAAATTCCATATATCTTTTAACACTACACGAGCTTTGACCTCAACCCCATAGTTGAACCCCTATGGTCACCCATAACATGATCCAAAATGTCTCACTGAATTCCTCCTTGCATCAACTATCTCAGCCCAGTGACACACAAGTCATAAAGTCCTCTTTACCCCAAACATATACTTTACTCTTAACTAGAATCGTCTCATGGACCCCATGGTATTTCCCGTGCCCACGAACCGACCCTGCTCAGGTCTAAGATATTAGGTGACAACATCAACCCCCCCTCTTAACACGTAATTCATCTCTAAATCCGAAACTCTACCCGCCTACTTGACGCATCACTAGATCCAAACTCAACTTGAGAGTTTGGTTTTCCCCAAAGTTGGAACTACGCATCCTAACGAAACGATCATCTCATAAATCATGACTCGCAACTTGCACGCAAACCACCTACCTAATTCCCTTTGGTTGCGACAACCACTACTCAATTCAGAATATAGCGATTTCCGACAAAGACAGAGACCCTAGTCTCGCCTGTGGTCCGACCACCAGGCTCCCAACAACTCAATACTAGGGCTACTCAAGCCTTAAACTCTTCTGCATCATACTCTGATCGGAGAACACTTCATCATCACACTCTTTTACCGTCTAGTGAGTACTATGGCTCCCCGCAGCATCACGATGTGTGACATCCCCAAAATCACGGCCAGAAAAGACCGGTTTTGTTTATACTTTATTTCAAAATCAGAGTTATCTTTTAATAAAAGGGTTGCGGAATTTGTCCCAAAACAATAATATGATAAAGATTTATCAAAATCATTTCCATAGAAATGTATTTCATTAAAAGACTCGGGATGTCATGTTCGTACAGATCAAAAGTATAAACAGTACAATATAAGCCTTACTACATTATTTCATATCTACAGGCCTATATCCGTAATCCCTCGTCCAAAACATCACACCTATGCTCATGCGCCACTACCTATAATGCATAAAACTGAGTGGGTCAGGCTTGGGAGCCTGGTGAGCACATAGGGTTTTCAACCCACAATAAATAAGTTTATTAATTTCATCAATCAACAATAACCCGATTACCCGTTCCCGTTATCCTCACTTTACGTCCCTAAACACCTATCATAAGGGACCTAGCCTAAGGATCATCATCGGGATGAACACTACTGCTAAGGGGATTCCTCAGCAATAAATGTCCTAATAGGCAACCATGTGGGGGATGGAGTACACCGGTGAACACATCGTTCACAACACCTACAGGTTGCGAGCCTGCTAGTGTTCCATTGGACTGTCTAGAAGAGTCTGTGGTCATCATCTATACTCCGCTAGATGACTGGATCAACAACAACAACATCGAGGCCTCTCATCATTTTATCACACATCACCTATTACATCTACCCATGTTTTACCCCAACATTTTCGTAGATATAAAATACATATACAGTTTAAATCATTAAAAACATGTATAACAACGTTCATCTAACGTAGATAGCAAGTATTCAGATAATATGCACACATAGCACGTAATTTATATAAAATACTTCATATCTATGTGTAAGCTGAAAGTAACTATGCACTCACCGGAAAAGGTGGTGATTCCGAACTCAGACAGCGCTTCGCTTCTTAAAAAGAATTTTTCTTCGACGAAACCTAGTATTATTACCACTAGAGTTTAGTTTATTATTCGTCAAGACTAATTAATAGTCTAGCTATTATTATTATTATTATTATATAAGCGTCAAAAAAATACTTATATAACCCATAATAATAGCCCAAGTATTTATTATAAGTTCCTAATAACGTTACTATAATTAAATAAAAGTTATATTAAAAATAGCGTAGGCGTAGCTCACTTACAGCGGGTTTTATAGAAAACCGGGCTTTGCTTGGAGCAGCGTTCCCGAGCCGAAAAGCTCTTCTTCTCAGAGCCTTCGAGCACTCCGGGGCTTCCGCCTCGTGCTAGGGAGGTTCCCTAGGCTTTTCGGGGGATTTCGGGGCTAGAGAGAGGTTCTAGAGAGAGAGAGAGTAAAGAGAAGAAAGAATGGGAAAGGTGTGAAGAAAATGAGGGTGGGAGAGGTGGTATTTATAGGGTGAAATGTGGCTGAACTTGGTGCCACATGTCACCATCTGGTGGCAAGCCTTGGGGAGAAAGCAATGGCCAAGATTGTGCCACATCACCCATTTTCGCACAGCACACTTCCGACTTCTAAAATCTAAACTTTCACATACACCTCCGTTTTTGACGTTCTTTATATCCATGCGTAGGTAATAATAAGATCTACAACTTTCATTTTGACACCGTCAGTAATTCTCGACCGATCTTAAATTTAACAGTACAAGGAGATTATACTGTTAAACGTCTGCGTAAAATTAATAACTTCTACATACGGACTCTGGTTTTGTCTGTCTTTTTACCGTTGATTT